CAATATAAATATATATATAATATGTTCAACTATTAAGGATCGTGTTAAATTGTGGCTGATATAAGCCTATTAATTGATTTTTGTAGCACCATAATGTTAAAATAATAAAAGAGATTGATTCCATCAATGAATATATTCCTTACCTACAAGCATGCCACTGTGATGGTTAAGCTAATGCTAGCTATCTGGTACTTCATTATGTAATTTTTCATTTCTTAATTCATAAAAAGTATGTATTTATTCTGTGCAGATGTTGTTTTAAAATATATACACATTGTGAAATGACTAAATAAACATAATTAATCTATGTATTACTTCCCGTGCTTATTTTTTTGTGGTGAGAACATTTAAAATCTACTCTCTTAGCAATTTTCAAGAATGCAATACATTGTTAACTATAGTCCCATGTTGTATAACACAACTCTTAAACTTATTCCTCTGATATAACTGAAAAAAAATTTTTTTTTTTTTTTGGAGACAGAGTCTCTCTCTTGCCCAGGCTAGAGTACCGTGGTGTCAGTCTAGCTCACAATAACCTCAAACCCCTGGGCTCAAGCGATTCTCCTGCCTCACTCTCACTAGTAGCTGGGACCACAGACACACACCACCACACCAGGCTAATTTTTTCTGTGTTTAGTAGAGACAGGATCGTGCTCTTGCTCAGGCTGGTCTCGAACTCCTAAGCTCAAGCGATTCTCCTGCCTCGGCTTCCCAGAGTGCTAGGATTACAGGTGTGAGCCACCATGCCTGGCCATAACTGAAATTTTGAATCTTGAATAACATCTTTCTGACCACTTACCCCAACCCAGGCCTGCCCACTTTTCTATTTACATCATATTAAGAGGATTTAGAGGGCAACCCTCTTTTGTCTCCAAGAGAGAGTCGAGTATTCCTAAGGAAAGTAATGATTAAAGATAGATTAGGGGGATGGAGAGTAAGGACACAAAATACTTTAGAATAGAAGATTGAAAAATCACAAAGCTAAAAATATCAGTGTGATGTAAGGAGGAGACAGCAAACAGCAATAAGAGCACTGATCTGGCAGAATCTTAATCATGCTTCAGATCTATGGACATTAGTCTTTTTCTTTAAGAAAATTTTCCTGATGGCCTCCAAAGTTTTGCTTAGTTCCCAATTCTGTCTAATCCAGTATGACTCTAAGATGTTGCGATAATACAAGAAGAGATTTTTGAAAAGCGCGATTATTAGCATGTTCATTGTATGTTGCCTTGTTATTTTCCAAAGTTGCCTTTTGCAGTATCTAATCTATCATACTTCAGTGTGAATACATAAAGTATATTAAAAAATACAAAAAGCTTTTGCTTAGATGGCTTATATCTATAAATATTAAATATGTTCAAAATTAAAAATAAATTTTAAAAGTATGTATTTATCAATTTAGTTTAAAATAATGATAAATTTACTAAATATTCCATAAAACACATTTTTATAATAATTATATTTCTCAAAACAAAAATTAGTGAGAATAATATTACTTTACATTTTTATAAGTATTGTAATGCCAACTCAGTAGACAACAGCCGTATTCTCATTACCTGCTTCTTAATACAATCTGTTGAAATATGGCCTTTTATTTAATGTTTATGAAGAAAATATGACTTTATATAGACACATAGTTGGACAAGTGAGGAGTTGGGTTTTTAATACATTTTTCAGATAATTGTGGATATTTTTCTTTGCTACTTCACTCACAATACACAAAAAATAGTTTCCAAAGATTAGTTGCAATGTGGAATCTGAAGCCATATTAATAAATTTTTGGTACTCTGTTGCATTAAAACCCATTTGTCTATCTAGCACTTGAATTATTCTTTACTCATGGGTCATTTGTAACATCAAGCATTTGTCATTAGGCAATATTGGCTCACTGAGTTGTGCAGATCCTCCAAATGTTGATATAGCTTATTATATAATATTATCACGCATCATTTGGACTCTGGAAAATTTATCTGTATATTACTAAGAGGATGAAACTGAGAAAAGCAAATAATACTTTAGTATTACCATGAAAATTGTTGTGACTTCACAGATCCCCCAAATGGTCATGAGGCCCTCAGGGATTGATGGATAACACCTCAACAACTGTTGCATCAGAAGTAATAGGTGAACTAGAGATAGATTGCTGATTATCAGTGAGCAAGGAAGGAGGTGTGATTACACTGAGAGATTGTAGAGGAGAGAGCACATCCAAGACTTTTTTATACATCTGGTAATTGTGGGAAATATTTATATATTATGCAACAAGTATTATTTTTTTCATTATTATTATTATATTTATTAACATTATGTTAACAAAATACAATACCTAAACTGCTGTTTATCCACAGAAATTTGACCTACCTCAGCCACTATTAGATGACCCCTTAATAGGCAATTTTATTCAACAGAGAAAAAGTCCTAAGATTAGAAAATTGATAAAAATATATACCAATATTCAGAAACAGTATAAGTGTTGTGAGGAATACACTGCAATAATTATTTTTGAGGGTTAATATGTATACATAGTGTTTACTTCCTGAGTAAATTGTTCTGAACAGATTTTACAATATGTTTACTAAATGTCACTTTTTAAAAATCCATGAATGCTGTTTTTACCTGTGTGTTGTCAGCACAATTCTTTAATCACCAGTGAGCAAATATGTATCTGCTTTTAATACCTCTTCTATTATATTTGCTGATTTATAAAATTTTGAAGTGAACAGGTACATAAATGTCCCACTATAAAGGTATTTATAAGTAGAATGCAATTGGCCTGAAGGGATTAGGCCACCAGGCAAAGGATAGCCTTAATTGAGAAAGAAAGAAAACTCTCTGTCTCCCTGGTAAATAGGCTTTTCTTCATGATTTACAGCCTGGTTGAAATGCCATTTCTCTGTGATCTTCTAATTCTTTCAAGGTCAGAGTGTTATTTTCTGTGCTATTTTAGCACTTGTACAAAACTCTGTAATATTTTTCTTCTAGGCTATAGTCTAATTGTATGCATACTTGTTTACTTGAGTGACTACATTTTCACACATTCTTTTGTTCATCTCCTGCTAAGATGTTCCAGTAAACATAATTGCTCCACTTCCTTTCTAGTTTCAATTGATTACTTAACTCTTCCCTGCCTTCTGTAAAGACAATTAGTATAAAACTCAATTCAATATATTTTTATTGCTATTTCACCTCCCAACTAAACTGTGAACTTCTTCCTGACAGGGAGAATGTCTATATTTTTTCATTTTAGTGCTTAACATAGGGCCTAACAAATACAGACTCATTTATCTAGGCATATAATGAATATTTGTTTTAATCATACCTTTTGACTTGCATTATGTTAGTGCTTGAAATACAAAGATAAATATATATCCAATGTATCCAAAGACAGTATGTTCTAGTTTTGATTAAACAAATGTATAAACAAATAAAATCATTATAAGTGTATTGTGATAATGCAGTACATTTGGCAAACAGGAAGAGGGAATGATGAGTTTTATTTTAGGCTTTAGTTGACTTGATAAAAATATTCACTATTATGGAAAATGAAATAATGAACAAATGAAACATGAATAAATGAATAAAGAAATCAATTATTTCACTAGTTGATTGACATTCAACTGGCAAAGTCACACCATATATCATATAGCCCCTGCAGTGTGACTCCTGGAGTACCCAAGCCTTCAGGTAAATAATACTTGTGTGTACATCTTAGGAACTGTGGTGACATTGGACACCTTCTTAATTAGATATACAGAGAAAAATGATTCTTAAAATTAATTAATAAGCTTTGAAGTTTAGCTTCAAAGACTGACCAGGCTGGAAAATGTTCTACATGGAGGAGTACCAACAACAACAAGAAACTTAAGAAACCTCTCAAAAGGTTAAGAATATACATTAGATGGATACCTTGAGGAAAGTTGCTGTGAGCCCATAATAATAACTTGATTAAGACTGGTGATGCAATATTTCTGTGCCTGGTTTATATCACTTAACATAATGACCTTCAATTCCATTCATATTGCTGCAAATGACAGGATTTCAATCTTTTTATGGAGAATAATATTCCATTTTATATGTATATACACACCACATTTTCTTTATTCACTCATCTGTTGATGGACACTTAGGTTGATTGCATACCTTGGCTTTCATGAATAGTGCTGTAATAAACATGAGAATGCAGATATCTCTTCTACATATGATTTCTTCTTTCTTTTTTTGTTATGTATGCAGTAGTGAGATTGCCCTTCTCATTCATATATGGAGGAATAAAACAGGATCTCATGGAGACAGAGGTAAATTGGCAGTAACCAGAGGCTAGGTAGGGTGGGAGGTGGGGGGATGAAGATAGGTTGATTAATGGATACAAAAATACAATTAGCAGGAATAATAGCTGGTGTTTGCTAGTATAGTAGGGTAGATATAGTTAATTATAATTTATTGTATGTTTCAAAAAAGCTAAAAGAGAAAATTTAAATGTTCCCAATATAATGAAAAGATAAATGTTTGAGGTGATGGATATTCCGATTACCCTGATTTAATCATTACACATTGCATGCATGTATCAAAATATTACATGTACCCCCCCAAATATGTACAATTATTATATAGCAATAAAAAGTTTAAAAATTTAAGAAATAATATGTATATTTTTAAAAGCTGGTGATAAAAACAATGATTCTATTCTCTGCTTCTATGAGATCAACTAGATTTAGTCATTCTACAATGTGTATATGTTTTAAAACATGTTGTACACGATACATACAATTTTATATATCAATTTAAAATAAATTTAATTTATCTCAAAAAACTAGTGATGGATAAAAATAGGGGAAAGTCATTGATACATAAATCCAGAAGTAGCTATAAATTTCTTCAATATAGTTTCATAAAATACACTCTGAGAGTGATAATTGAAAAGTAAATGTAAAATACCAGGTAAATTTCTTCTTTGCTATTTTTTGTTTGTCCTTCTTCTGTCTAATTTCAGTTGTTTTGAATCAACTTGCACCCTTCTCACCCTGGAAAAACTTTGTGACACTGTCTCGGATCTGTTTTGTCTTTATTCCATAAACGATGGGGTTTAAAGTTGGCGGAAGAAGCAGATAAAGATTAGCCACAATGATGTGAACAGAAGGGGGAACGGTGTGCCCTCCAAAACGGTGAGTAAAGAAAGTGAAGAATGCTGGAACATAGGTGATGATGATGGCAGATATATGAGCAGTGCAGGTGCTGAAGGCCTTCTGCCGAGCATCTGATGATGAGAGGCTGACCACTGCACGGAGGATCATAGTGTAGGACACAGATATACAACTTATGTCAAACACTCCAATCAGGAGAGCAACCATCAGACCATAAATGACATTGACCTTGATGCTGGCACAGCATAACTTTACCACTGACATGTGGTCACAGTATGTATGGGAGATGACATTGCTTTGGCAGAAGGGCAAACGCTTTACCAAGAATGGAAAAGGAATCATCAGCAATATACCCCTCAGGAAGGCAGCAAGCCCAGCTTTGGCAATGATAGTGTTAGTGAGTATGGTAGCATAGCGCAAAGGGTAGCAAATGGCCACATAGCGGTCCACAGCCATGAGCATGAGCACGCCAGACTCCACACCAGTAAATCCATGAACAAAAAACATCTGGACCAAACAAGCATTGAAGTTAATTTCTTTGAGATTGAGCCAGAAGATGCAGAGTGCATTGGGTAGCGTGGTGGTGCAGGTAAGGAGGTCAATGAGGGAGAGCATGGCCAGAAAGAAATACATTGGACGATGTAAGGACTCCTCATAGTAAATAAAATACACAAGGCCAAGATTTCCCACAAGGGAGATGATATACATTGTACAGAGTGGGAGGGAGATCCATACATGTACTCTTTCCAGACCAGGAATTCCATTAAGAATAAAAGATTGGGGGGCAACATATGAATTGTTTGAAACCAGCATAACTACTTACATAGAGGAACTCTATTTTTCCAGAAGTTTCTGTCCTAAGGAAAAGGAATTAAGAAATAGAAATATGACTCAGATCTTCCTTGCAAATGCAAACTTAAATTTAGAATAAAATAACATTTATAATAGTACCAATAATTTGGAATAACATTGTTTATGAACATACATAATTTATTGAAAAATACTATATTTCAGATTATATTTTGTTTTATAAATAGCCTAAATATAATTTTAAATCCATAACTAAAAAGTTGCAATTTTTTTCTACCATAAAATAGAAGGAGATATAGGCACAGAGAGATTAAATAAAGTTGAATGTCATACAGCTAGATTCAGGAACAGAAATGGTATTCATGTATAACTCCAATACTCATGATGATACTAAATAGGAAAGAAATCTTGAGCAAAAAGAACAAAGCTGGAGGACTGGAAATCTTGGCTAATGCCTCTAATCCCAGCATTTTGGGAGGGATAGGCAGGGGGGTTGCTTAAAGCCAGGAGTAGAAGACCAGCCTGGGTAACATAGAAAGAACTCATCTCTACAAAAAATAAAAAACTTAGCTGGACATGGTGGTGTGCCTGTGGTTCTGGCTACATGGGAGGTTGAGGCAAGAGGCTCACCTGAGCCCAGGAGTTTGAGACTGCAGTGAGCTGTGATCCTGCCACTGTACTCAAGCCCGTGTGACAGAGTGAGACCCTGTCTCTAAATAATAATGACAAATAAAAGAATAAAGCTGGAGGCATCACAACACTACCTGATATCAACATATACCACAAAGCTATAGTAACCAAAACTGCATGGTACTGACATTAAACAACAATGAATCAGAATAGATAACCCATAAATAAGTCCACCCATGTACAGCTGATGGATTTTTGACAAAGGTGTCAAGAACACCCACTAGGGACAGGACAGTCTCATCATTAAATGGTGTTGGGAAAATGATATCCACACGCAGAAGAATAAAGTTAAACCCTTATTTCATTCATATGGAAACAGAGAAGACCTTATATAGTCAAAGGAATCTTAATCAAAAAGAACAAATTGGAAGGCATCAGTCTATGAGACTTCAAGCTCTACTACAAGGCTATAGTAACCAAAACAGCATTGTACTGGCACAAGAATAGAGAAACAGGACTGAGAACCGAGATATAAAATTATCTTCATATTGTCATCTAATCTTTGACAAAGCAAACAAACATATACACTGGGGAAAAGAATCTCTATTCAATAAATGGTGCTGGGAAAACTGGATAACCACATGTAGAAGATTGAAACTGGATCCCCACCTCTGACCTCTCACAAAAATCAACTCACAATGGATAACACAGACTTAAGACCCCCACCTCTCACCTCTCACAAAAATCAATTCAAGATGGATAACAGACTTAAACCTAAGGCATGAAACCTTAAGAATTCTAAATGAAGAGGTTGGGAAGACCCTTTCAGACATCAGCCTAGGCAAGGAATTCTTGAAGAAGAACCCCAAAGCAATCACTGCAGCAACAAAAATAAATAAGTGGGATCTAATCAAATTAAAAAGCTTCTGCACTGCCAAGGAAACTATCATTAGAGTGAATAGACAGCCCACAGAATGGGAAAAAATATTTGCTCTCTACACATCTGATAAAGGGCTGATAACCAGAATCTATCTAGAACTCAAAAAAATCAACAAGAAAAAATCAAACAACCCCATTAAAAAGTGGGCAAAGAACATGAACAGAAACTTTTCAAAAAAAGACAGAATAATGGCCAACAAACATATAAAAGACGCTCAACATCTCTAATCATCAGGGAAATGCAAATCAAAACCACAATGAGATATTACCTAATTCCAGTGAGAATGGCCTTTATCAAAAAGTCCCAAAACAACAAATGCTGGTGTGGAAGTGGAGTGACAGGAACACTCTTACACTGCTGGTGGAACTGCAGATTAGCACGACTCCTGTGGAAAGTAATTTGGAGATCTCAAAGAACTAAAAATAGAAATACCATTTGATCCAGCAATCCCACTGCTAGGCATCTACCCAAAGGAAAAAAAGACATTCTATAATAAAGACATCTACACTCCAATGTTAATGGCAGCACAATTCACAATTGCAAAGATGTGGAAACAACCCAAGTGCCCATCAATATATGAGTGCATCAATAAAATGTGTTATATATATATATCATGGAATACTACTCAATCACAAAAAACAATGGTGATCTAGCACCTCTTGTATTATCCTGGATAGAGTTTGAGCCCATCCTTTGAAGTGAAGTATTGCAAGAATGGAAAAACAAGCACCACATGTACTTGCCATCAAATTGGTACTAACTAATCAGCACTTAGGTGCTCCCATGGAAGTAACATTCATGGGTGCCAAGGGGGTGGGAGGAGGGTGGTGAGGATGGGTAAACTCACAACTAATAGGTGCGGAGTGCACTGTGTGGGGGATGGACATGCTTGTAGCTCTGGCTTGGGCAAGGCAAAGGCATCAGATGTAACCAAAATGTTTGTACCCCCATAATATTCTGAAATTTAAAATAACAAATAAAAAAGTCAAAATTTAAAAAATAAACAAACTTAAAATAGATTAAAGACAAATGACATATAATTTATCTTGATAAGTCTTCTTTGAACACTGAGATAGAATGAGACTTTCTTTGAAGAGGTCTGCTTTCAACAATCCAGGGCGAGCTACTGTCATTGAACTCCCTGATTTAGGTACAGGATGTTTAATCTGCATTCACAAAGCTATTAGTGGTCATTCAGAATGAAATCTAGGTTTTCTTAGCTCAGACTTCACATCTGTTCCACTAAATTAAATCCCTTCTAAAGGAAATTAATGCAGAAGTTGGGGACTAACAAATAGTTGATATGTGATTTGTTCTCATTTATTTGATTTTGCATTTATATGTTTTCTTGTTTTTCTCTGGAGGAAGATGAGGCTCATGTTTCTAAATTAGGACCTCTAACACTCCTGCTTCTTACTATTTCTTCCTTGCCTAGCATTCCAGTCATCTTTCAGGTAAATAGCAAGAGGATGGTGTGGGATGATTTGTTTTGGTTTTATTTTTTTTTTCCAAAGGAGAAGATAATTTGGTAAAAGTACCGTTGAGATTTAACCTGAGCACCGCCCCCCAACTTTCTTATTTTTGGATGTGGTTCTGGGGAAGTAAGAAAGAGAGAATATAGCCATGCATTGGAAGTTTAATAATGACAACAAAACAGCATACCACATCAAGATAAGCTACACCATCCCACCTCATGTCAATGACAGGTTCTCTTTTCTCCTTGGCAATGGGTTCCATTACCTGAACTAGGTGTCTAAGCCTCCACTATCTGATGGGAAGTGTGGTGACTGCTGCGTCTTCTGCTGTTTCTTCATCCCACACTGGCAGCCATTTGACACAAAGTGTATGTAGCACCCATGGTTGCCTCTGGCTGTTTAAAACAGAAAACAGCCTCCTTTGAATTATCGCTTGATCTTAGCCTCCTAAAAAATTTGAATGAATCAGGCACTGCTTAGAGGCTAGAAAAGCCAAGGAGACTTCCTTTTCACTTTCATGCTATGCTTCCCTAGTGATGGCCTAGAAGAGCATATTTTCAAGGAATTTAGGGACTAGTTCACAGAAGAAAATTCTATCAGACATCTGAACAACTCTCTCCCACTACCCTGGAGAGAAATGTCAGGAAAATGCTGGATCCAGAAAAGAGACTTTTAGATTCTCTGATATTATCTTTTCTTTGCTACTGTTGTTGTTTTTAAATGTTTTTTCAGAAACGTCAAATCTAAACTTTTAGTGACAGAAAGCACCATCACTGAGCCTGAATATATCCATTTTATGGACTCTAAGTTAAACAAATTCCATTTATTAAATTAAAAAAAACTAGATATCCACCATGTGTGTGCCAGGCAACATGTCCTTACCACAAAGACTTTCTGTGTCTCTGCTCTGGTGCTTTCAGGTTTTACCTTAAGCATAAATGGCAAATATGCATACCTACTCAAATATTTATATACATGTCTAAGCAACAAAAAATTGCATTAGTACTATTTGATTGTCTATGTTTATCTATTTAATATATTTACTTCTTTAATATTTAAATTAACTTATGAATTTAATCACATTCTTATATGAGTCTGCCAATTCAATATTATCTATCCATTTTATCTAACCAAGACTCAGTGCATTCAATAGCTTGTCCAAAGATACAGAATTTTTTGTTCTCTACATGAAATACTGGTGAAGCACATCCTCATCTCTCTTATTATTTGAAATTCGCCTTTCTTCCTCTCTCCTACCCTCATATTTCCTCCATTTTTTTCATGATGATGATAACCTGGAGACCCGTGCAAGAACAGTTTACATTTATCCTATCCCTTTACTGGCCTGTGCACTGTTTTAGCGTACAAAACAAATATTCCACCTATTTTACCCCATCAATGAGGACAGTGACTGAATTAAAAAATAATAATAAATTGGAGTTGTGTTGACTGACTGCAAGTTATGTGATTAAATTGAAGAAAGGGGAGGGAGTGAGGAAGGTGGGGCTAGGGACTCAGAGGGAAAAATTTGTAGCAATTTGTCTTTTCCTTATTTAGAGATCTTAGGGTTGCTATTGTCTAATTCTATGCCTTTGCGTTGCAGCATATATTTGGAAAAGAATAAATAAAGATAAGGAGAATTCCTTGTACTCTAAAGGAGAGTTTGAGAGCATCTAACCTGTACCTTATCCACCAAGAGCACACATCCCTTACAAGCACTATCTCTACTTTGAATGTGAAATGAACATATTCTTCCTAATTTTCACACACTAAGAAATCACCAACATTTTCTGTAGGTCAGTGCCTTTGATTTTTATAATTACACAGACTGGTTGGAACAGAGGTAGGCTTTGTCATATAATAAGCCTAGGATTTAAATGTCTGGAAGGCAGAAATCCCTTACCCACAATATAATTCCAGATAAGAAGGCAGGTGAAAGGTGTTCATGTCAGAAGGAG